CAGACCTCTCCTGACCCGCCCGCTGCTTCCCTCAGCAGTGTACTTCATTGATCTGCCTGTTCTGTTCCCCACTCTGTCTCTGGCGAAGCCTTTCACCGCCCCTGAGCCTCTGGCCTGTACCCCAGTTCTGTATGCATAAATAAATAAATCTTTAAAAAAAAAAGTCTTATTTTCATTTGCAGATGAAGTTCTAATTGGTGACTGAGAGAATTCTTTAAATAATAGTAATAATTAAGATTAAGTATTGATTAGCATTTATTTAAAGTTTACTTTGTGTGAAATACTGTTCTGTGCTCTTGATGTTTTATCTTACAAAGTCTTTGTAACTATTTGAATTCAGTTATGCTCATTTTAGGGGTAAGGAGCTTATGACTCTGAAAAAATGGTTAAATATATTATACTGCCATCTTACGGACATAAGACAGTCATCAGTTTAAAATGATGTAGTTTAATAATTGGCAAGAAATATGTTTATGACATATTAGCTGTGAAAAACAACATAAACATAACATAAACAACATAAATGCCTTAAAGGATATTGTCCAAATGTTAACAGTGGTTATCTATTGGAAGAATTTAAATTGATGTTTTGTTTTCTATGTATTTTTGTTGACTTTATTTACATTAATTATATTTTAATGATAGCAAAATACAAAAACATTCATTTCATTTAAACTTTCTTTTTGGAAAATTACTTTCTCAACTTGTTAGCTTCAGAAAGATATTTTTTGCTTTAAAGTAGTCTAAAGTTTTGAAACCTGAGGTCAGGAAGGACTGGAATTAATTATATAAAAAGAGAAAGAAAAAGAAATCATATATAAGTCTTTTGAGGTATATAGTATTGCCTGCTCTTCTTGGCTGTTTTAGAACTAAATTAACACTTTGAGAACCCCTCAGGCTCTTTTTTAACTTGACTAATTTAAGAACAAGAGACTTTTCCCCACCCCAGCAAATGGTCAACTTAGTAAAACCCCACAGGGTTTTTATTTATTTAACTTTGCAACTGAACTTATGCAAATTTACTAAATATTTTTAAATAATCACCTTAATTTATTTTTTTAAATTCTTGGTAGAATTATCTTATTAAAATTAAGCCCTTCAAGTAGCAATCAGAAAGTAGAACTTGACACAGGCCAGTTGATTAATGAATATTCAGACAGCATTGATCTGAGTAAAATTTGGTGGATCCAGATTGAAAGAAATCAAAGAACATGTGCTCTAAATATTGAAATGATTCATCTATCTCCTTTCTTTTCATAGAAAATAAAATCACAGGTTCATTACTGCCCTTTCTTGATGATTCTCATCTTGATGTTCTTGGAATAAGGTAAGAATGATAAAGTCACATTTAACCAAAGTTACAACCACTTTATTTACATTTGAAGGATAAACTCCAAGATTGCTAAGGCTAACTATCCTTACCATAAATCTGTGAAGCATTGAAAATCGTTGGCCAACTGTCAGTAGTTGTTTCTGTTGTGCAAATCCTGTGTTTAATATAACAGATGAGTCATTTCTAAAATTTGCTGACAAGCCTTCTTAAAATTTTTAGTAAACAACTTTTTATTCTCAAGTTCAAAATGTTGGTTAGTATGAGATTTAGAGATAATATACAAAGTAGTTTGGTGCTTGTTAATTGTTGATTTGGGACAATTTGTGTAATTCTTAAATTTCTGTACCTGAGAAATGGATACTAATAATGAAACAATGTATGTACAGTGATTAGTACATAAGCCCTTGTTAAGTTTTATATAAACATACATATGTATTTATATAATGTATGTATGTATGTATGTATATTTAGAGAGAGAGATTTTGATTCCCATTATGGCTGGAGGTAATCTAAATTTATATATTTCTTAAAATGGAGACTTAGTTTCTAATATGGAATTAGCAACAATGGGTCTTTTCTTCAGGAATTCCACTTAGCTAAATATTGTTTGTGGTAACTGTAACCAAAGAATCAATACAAAAGATTATACTGAATGACCTCATGCACTATCCTTTAGTAAATAGTAATGGAAGTAAATTGTGAAAAAAGATCATCTTAGGACATTTAGGTGTCTTTATTTTTTAGCTTTATTTACTTATGGATACAAGAATTGGAGTACAGGCCAGAGACGTGGGGGGTGAGAGGATTCACCAGAGCCAGAGTGGGGAGCAGAATAAGTGGATGCACTCAAATACACGGCTGAGGGGAGCAGCAGGTGACTGAAGAGGTGTGCTGCACCCTGTGGGTCAGCTCCCTGGCCTGGAATTGAACTTGTGTGGCAGTTGGTAGTGCTGAGACTTAACCCTTTGTGCCACCAGGGAGGCCTACTACCTCTTTTCTTATGTATAAATATTGCTTATAATTTGAGAGTCAAATATCCTTTCTTTTTAGAGAATCATAGACTTTGTAGACCCAAATGCTACTGATTTTTGTCAACAAATATTTTTGGAGTGCTCATTAAGTGTTAGACCTTCCTCTGGAATTTGGGACACATTAGTGAACAAAACAGACAATTACAAAGGGAACATTACGTGACACAACTTTTGCGCCCACCTTATAATTCAGAGGTAGATTCTGCAGGACTCCTTACATTTGTGTTTTCCTATATGGTAGCCACTAGCTACATGTTTAATTTATTTTAAATACTTCAGTTAGGCTAGCCATATTTTAAGTACTCAATAGCCACTTACAGCTTGCAGCCAATGGCTGGACAGAGCAAATATAGAATTCCATCATTTCTAAATTCTCCTGGACAGAAAGCTGCTACTTTTTCCTTTTTCACACCTATACTGGGATATAGGCCAGGGATGCAGGGGGTAAAAGAATTCACCTGAGACAGGAGTGGGGTTGCAGGACAGGAGAATTTACTAAAATACACTGCTGAGGGGAGCGGTAGGCTGCGCCATGAAGGTCAGCTCCCTGGCGGGATTGAATCAAACTCAAACCACAACTCATGCTGCAGCGGCTGCCCATAGCTTCATAATGCTGAGACTTAACCCCTGGTGCCACCAGTGAGGCCTTTAGTGGCTCTTTTTATTTCCTTTAATCAGCAAATTCTTTATGTATAGTTTCTGTTTGGGGTTTTAAATAAATGATGAATGTTGAATATTAACTTAGGAAAATAATATTTTATTTTTTTATTGGGCAGTGAGGTATTACACAGTGCCTCTGGTTATGCTCAACTGAAAGGAAAGAGTTTCTAGGATTAGGTTTGTATTATTTGTTGCTCATTCTAATCTGACTTTTTTGTTGTTGTTGTTAGTGTAGATCATCTAAAGTTGACTTTAATCTGTTACATATTACATGAGTTATTATTAAGTAAATGATGACAGATTTGTTTAACCTATTGTAATTTTAGTTCTTTGAATGAAAGACAGAAAGTGATGAATTGTATCCAAGGCCTGGGTCGACCTCATGTTCATACAGTGAAGGTAAGAGGAATCTGAGTTACCATGTTTTTAAAATACAATGTGATACAATTATGTAGAATTCATATAACTCACATACCTTCAGTTTACTCATTTAAAGTAAACAAGTCAACGTTTTCTCGAAAGTTCACAAAATTGGTTACTTGTTCTTACAATCTAATTTAAATTGTTAAAGTTATTTATATATTGTGGATACAAGTCACTTTTTTAAAGATTTATTTATTTATGCATATAAGAAGTGGGGTAGAGGCCAGAGGTTTGGGGGGTGAGAGGATTCACCAAAGACAGTGGGAAGCAGAACAGGTGGATTTACTGAAATACACTGCTGAGGGGAGAAGTGGACAGGACAGGAGAAGTCTGCTGCGCCATGTGGGTCACTTCCCTGGCTGAGGATCGAACTCATGCTGCAATGGCTGCGGATTGCTTCAGAGTACTGTGACTTAACTACTTGTGCCACCAGGGCCCAGATCACTTTTTAGATATATGATAAGTAAATATTTTCTGCCATTTTCTGTACTGTCTTTTCATTTTTTTGTTTTACATTAAATAAAAGAACTGGGGTATAGGCAATGGTATAGGGCAGTGAGAGGATTCACCAGAGCCAGAGTGGAGAGCAAAGCAAGGTGATTTACTGAAATACACTGCTGAGGGGAGCAGTGGGTGAGACAAGGGAGGTCTGCAGCTCCATATATGGGTCAGCACCCTGGCTGGGGATCAAACTCAGGCCATGGTGTAGGCCAGAGGTGTAGGGGGTGAGAAGATTCACCAGAGACAGAAGGGGGAGCAGAACGGGCAGATGTACTGAAATATACCCCTGAGGGAGCAGCAGGTTGTGCCATGTGGGTCAGCTCCCTGGCCAGGGGTTGAACTGAGGACTCATTATTTTTCTTGTCTGATAAGGACATTCATAGGATTGAATTGTTTAACAAAGGTGTAAATCTAGTCACTGACTTTGTAGTGATTGTGACTTACGTGATATGAATGACTGTTAAATATGTTTCATTTGAATTCAACACTAACTTATTAAAGTTTATTAGCCATATACATAGTAAAATGATTAAGGTCATTATCTTTCTGTTAGTGTCCTGTCACTTCCTTTAGTAGTGTTCTTACTTAGAACAATCAAATAGCTTTGACATTGGACTGTGTATAGGGATGGCTGCACAGGAATTTTTTTTTTTAAGGTTTATTTATTTGTGCATACAGAACTGGGGTACAGGCCAGAGGCTCAGGGGCGGCTAGAGGCCTCACCAGAGACAGAGTGGGGAACAGAACAGGCAGATCGACGAAGTACACTGCTGAGGGGAGCAGCGGGCGGGTCAGGAGAGGTCTGCCACACCATGTGGTCACCTCCAGGGCAGGCAGGAATCGAACTCATGCACAAGTGGCTTTAGATTCTCAGTGCTGTACTTTAACCCACTGCGCCACCAGGGAGGGCTTGCACAAGAATTTTAATTGGAGTTATGTATTATTAATACTATTAATTGAAGCATCATTTTCTAGGTAATTAATGATCCTATCCATGGCCACATTGAACTCCACCCTCTCCTCATTCGAATCATTGACACGCCTCAATTTCAGCGGCTTCGTTATATCAAACAGTTGGGAGGCAGTTACTATGTTTTTCCTGGAGCTTCACACAATCGATTTGAACATAGTCTAGGGTAAGAAGGGAGTTGGTGGGAAACTTAAGTCACTAAGTAACTTCTCTATCTCATGAAATAAATGTCTCATCTTTCAGAGTATGGTTTTATAAAATGGTAAAGATTATTTTATTGATGAGAAAATTGAGATTTTACCTTGTTATATTTTATATTCTTATAAGCCACCTCAAATCCTTCTTGGAAGGATAATGAAAGGACCTTATTGACACATCATTTGGATGAAATAGTTATGTTTTTAATATTATCACAGTTACTGTTGGTTACTAACAAATAACTTTGTAATTTTTCTTATTTAATTTTCCTATTTAGGCATGTATTGAATTGCCCAATTTTCTCACCTATCAGGAAATACGCAAACCAAAAAAGCATTCATAGACTTATAGAAGGTAGCACCTCTATTTCACACAACTAAGTTGGTTTTTGGCCTGCTTTTCCATTTAAAATGTAGAGTCAGGAGGACATTGTCTGGGAAGACCTGGACAGTTTTCTAGATTTTCATGAAGTCCTCACATTGCATTGCCTTTCTGTGTGAGTAGCTGATAAGAAGCATTTTTAGTTATCCCAACATGTATCTACTCAAATACCTGTAATGTATCCATCAAAAATACTTAGTGAAAACTTACTAGGTCCTATGCCTCCAACAAATAGCAATTGTTTCTGTCGTCATGGAGCCCAGACTTTAGGGGAGAAGAAAGATTTTTATTTACTAAAGACTGATTTTCAGGAGGAAGTGCTGAAAGTACATTTGATATTTGTGAGGTGTTTTACCTTCAGTCTGTGTTGCAAACATCACACCAACAGCAGTTTCACTTTTTTTTTTTTAAGCTTCACTTAAAAAAAAAGTTGTTAAAATACACAGAAGATAAGTTACCATCTTAACCCTTTTTAACTGTATGGATCAACAGTTAAATATATCAACTGTCAAAACATTATAAAATATGTCCCTGGGGATCCACCTCAGGTCTAGTAGACAGGAGAAGAAGCCTTCTTTATAGACTCCATCCCCTAATGCAGACTTTACCTACTGCCTGAAGGTAAAGTCAATCTTTTGAGATAATAAAACATTTGACAGTGGATACCTGAGCTTTGCATCTCTGTAGGGCATTCATGAGTTACTCTCCTCTAACATCAGAGATGTTTAGATTAGGACAAGTTAGAACTACAAACCTCTCCCCTTCCAATCAAAAACAGTGGGTCAGTGACTCTGTTCCTATCTGTATTAACTAAATTCAGACTGTGTATTGGAAACATTCTCACAGTAAAACTGCCAGTCTGCATTCTGAGTTGGATTATTTAACTTTACCTGCCTGTCATTGAGACTAATTTCAGTGAATATGCATTATTTGTAACCAAGCTACAAAAGTTTTACATCTTGCAAAACTGTTTATTTCACTTAGTATAGTTTCCTTGAAGTTTACCCAGTTGTAGCATAGGTAAGACTTTCATTCTTTTTAAAAGCTGAGTAATATTTTTGCACATGTGTGTGTATATATAGTGGTCACCCTAATGGGTGTGAGTGAGGTGGTATCATATTGTGGTTTAGATTTTGCATTTCTTAGTGATGAGTGATGCTGAGATGAGAAGTATTGCTTTGGGATTCTGTTTTTGTGTTCATGCCTAGTTCTGAAACAGACTCTTCTGTTAAGTTGACCAAGATATATTAGAAAATGTGAGAAACATTTTTTTCTTTTTCTTTTTATTAAGGCAACAGTTGATAAAACTGTAGGTTTCAGTGTACAGGTTAACCTCAGCAATTGTCTATATCCCACCACACCCCCAACTGAGAAACATATTAAAGTTCTTAAGGACCAGAAGTATCATTAATTTTTCAAACAGAAGTGTGACTTATTTTGTCTTCTGCTCTCCAGCGTCGGGTATCTGGCAGGATGTCTAGTTCGTGCACTGCGTGAAAAGCAACCTGAACTGCAGATAAGTGATCGGGATGTGCTATGTGTTCAGATTGCTGGGCTTTGCCATGACCTTGGTAAGTTAGACAAAGAGCCAAAGTTGTTACATAAACCTGTTACAGGGCAAGGAGAGGGACAGTCAGGGAACCCCGAAGCTGACCTTTCTAAATAGGTTCTGCCATCCCTCACATCAAGACAAAACATACTCTACTGCATAAGACCTTTAATGGAAAGGAACTTGAGTAGACATAGTGTGCAACAAAGACAAGAAAAAGGATGATGTGTGTGTGTGTGTTTTTAAGATTTATTTATTTTTTAAACAGAATAGGTTTTATGGCTTGATGCTTTTTATTTTATTTATTTTTAAAGATTTTATTTACTTGTGCATTCAGAAATGGGCTGCAGTTCAGAAGTACAGGGGTGGTGAGAGGATTCACCAGAAACAAAATAGCAGAACAGGCAGGTTGACAAAATATACTGCTGAGGGGAGCAGCGGGTGAGATAGGAGAGTCTGCCTCGCCATGTGGGTCACCTCCGGGGCGGGAATCAAACTCACACTGAAGCAGCCACAGGCTTCGCAGTGCAGTGCTACAACCCTCTGAGCCACCAGGGAGGGCCCTAAGATTTATTTTTGTTTATTTATGCATATAAGAACTTGGTGTAGGCCAGAGGTGTGGGAAGTGAGAGGATTCCCTAGAGACAGAGTGGGGAGACAGAACTACTAAAATAGGCTGCTGAGGGGAGCAGCTGGTGAGGCGTAGGGGAGGTCTGCTGTGCCATAATGGGTTCTGGAGAACTATCTCATGCAGCAGTGGCTGTTGATTGGTTGCTAGTTCTGAGACTTTAATCCCTGCACCACCAGGGAGGTCCTGGAAAAAGAACAAAGTTTTAAATCAAGCACCTGAAGCTACCAAACAGGGTAAATCCCCAGCCAAACAGGGTTGGCCCAAAGCAGGGCCACCCTGCTACAAGTTTAAGGCCCCTCCTGGTGGGGACCCATAGGAAAGGGGCAGTAGGGGCACATGTCTGAGACAGAAGGAGCAAAATCAAAAGCAAGATAAAAGCTGCCGTTGTTAACCTCCCTTGTGGGTCTCTTACCCACATCTGTTTCAGCTAGTCCAGGACCAAGAAGTTAAGCTTTTTCACATGTCTCTGCTTCATGTGCCTCCTCCAGGTCATCTTCTTGTTCTCCATCTTTCTTCTTTTCTACAGTCTCCTTTCTAGCTTTTCTCCCTCTCTGCTCAGTTCTACACTTCCTTGGGTCATACAGGGAAGTTGGAATTTACCCACTTCCTGACCCTGCCATATTACAAGATCATAACGTGAATCATGTTTTTGGAATTACATCATGAATATAATCAGATGACATACATGTTTTAACTTTTCTGTTAACTTTAATATAAATGTTCCATTGCTTCTTCCTAGGTTGGTTCATAAACCCAACAATGCTAGTTATTTTTTGAAAGGACTTTCAGATAGTGAGGTTTTCTGATTACTGTGTTCACAATATTAGCTTGGTTTTTCTTTATCCTTATTGAATAAAAATGCCATTTTATCAACTCTACTTACTTGGTCAAATTTATTCTTCTCATACTTAGAATAGCTAATCTGCCCCTAACAGATGACCAACAGATTTAAAGAACTCCTTTTCTTCCCTGGCCCATAATAAGAACTTAGTGCACAGTCTAGTAGAATAACATTTTTTTCCTTTGATAAAGAAAGAGAAAATAGGGCCTCCTTGGTGGTGCAGGGGTTAAAGTTTTAGCACTATGAAGCTGTTGGTAGCCACTTCTGCTTGAATCTCCTGCCAGGGAGCTGACCCACGTGGCACAGCAGACCTCTCCCTACCCCCTCAGCAGTATATTTCATCCACCTGTTCTGCTCCCCGCACTGTCTCTGCTGAGTTCTCTCATACACGCTTCACACCCTGACTCCCACCTCTGGCCTCAGTTCTTGTATGTATAATTAAATAAAAATAAATCTTTTTGAAAAAGATAGAGAAAATAAGGGTCCTGAGGGCTTGCATTTGCCCTAGGGTTGGGGAAAGGAAGTGGCCTTATTTCAATAGCAGGTACTTAAAGGGGTATGGTACTCTTTTGTCTTTTAGCCTATCTTCTCAAAGGTTTCAGTATGAATAATATTCCTCCTCATGGTAAATTTACTAGATTATTGGTATTACTGGATTATTGGTATTTTAAAGGTTTGTTTATTTATGCATATAAGGGGTACATCCAGAGGTGCAGGGGGTAAGAGGATTCACCAGAGACAGAGTGGGAAGCAGAACAAGTGATCTACTGAAATACACTACTGAGGGGCGCAGCAGGCAAGACAGGAGAGGTCTGCCGCGCCGTGTGGGTCAGCTCTCTGGGAAAGGATCGAGCTCAGTACTGCAGTGACTATGGATGGCTTCATGGTGCTGAGACTTAATGCCCTGCACCATCAGGGAGGCCCTCAGATTCTTGGGGGTTTTTTTTTGGATTCTTGGTATTTTAAGAGGAAATCATTTGGAAGCCTTTGCTAGGCCCTCAGGAATCAGACCTATAGTTATGAACCTTTGTGTACACTCTGAGAAAAGCTTTGGGCTGGTCCCTGGTGTCTTCTTCCAGGCCAGGAACTTACTAATGTGGAAATACTGTTAACACCTCAGTTGTGCTTCAGTGAGTTTTCATCATAGCAAATGTGGAATCTCAAAATCACTTATGAATAAGAGAAACTAGTGATTTTCATTTCTGATTGCCTGTGTCGTCAGAATCTCAAGGTGTAGCCTTGACATGTGTATGTTACTATAAAATACGTACATGGTAAATTTTACTTAAAGATAGGTATTTTTAATGGATGAGAGTATTAAAATTAAATTCTAATATTTTTCTTCCGACCCTAGGAGATTGTCTTAAATCTGCAGTTCTAATCCATGAGTACTCAGTCTGAAGATACCAAAAATACTGTCCTTTACCTTCATTTTAGCTGTCATTTTACTCAGATTTATGTAAACTCTGGCGATTCAGAGATCCCCTTTTTAAAGGACTTGTTTTCTGATAGAGTTCTGTTTCCTTTAAAAAACAGAAAGGATTTTCCCTTTTTTGTGATGTACTTATACATTTTAATTTCTGTTTTGATATGCTAGTTAAAATGAAAGGATTCAAAGATTCAATTTTTATCAATTTGCAAACAATTTTCTTGTTCTAAGGCTTCTTTTGTTTTTAAGGTCACGGGCCATTTTCTCATATGTTTGATGGAAGATTTATTCCACTTGCTCGCCCAAGATTAAATTGGAAGGTATGTATTAATAAAGTCAGTAGTCAATAAAATAAAATAAAGGCTATTTTATTGAGCAACTGCTGCTGTTATAGAATGCTTCCCATCACAGTTTTTAAGGTCCTTTCATGTGTGTGTGTGTGTGTGGGTGTGTGTGTGTCCACTCATTGATCTCACAGTGGTCCACAAGAAAGGAATCGTCATCTCCATTTTCACTAGAGTAAAGGAACTTGAAGCTCACAGAGGTGTATTGAAGTACCCAAAATAACAGAACTGCTAAATGCCAGAGCCAACACTAGAAAACTAGGCTTATTAGTTGCTAATTTAATGCCTTTCTAGTTTTTCACACTACTGAAAAAAATAAATAAAAATAATTTCACTTGATTCATTTTATGAGCAAGTTTCATCATAATATGTTAAAGGAACCATTTTATAATTTGGGACTTGTAGGTAACTGATCTGTATATTTGGAATCAGTTTTAAGAAGTAAAGCTAGGTCATTCTGGTTTCTTTCCACATGTACTTCTGGAGCCTGCAGTTGAACGGAATATCAGTATATAGCAAGTGCTGCTTACGTGTCAATCACTATTTTCTCTTGGTTTTCTTTAAAGGTATAATTCACATATGATATACTACACAGGTCTTAAGTATACAGGTCAGGGAATTTCCTGTAACCACCACTTGAAGTCAGAATATGGAATACTTTCATCTTCCTGCAAATTCTCTTGGGCCCCTTTTCCATTAATTCCTTCTTCCCCATTCCCACCACTGTCTTAGTTCCTCATAATTACAGATCAGTTAGCCTGTTTGTACACTGGATACAAGTATAACTACATAGTGGGTGCTTATTGTTTTATTCATTCAGCAAATGATTTTAAGATTTGCTCACGTTAAATGTATTCATTATCCCAGTGGATTGTCTTAAGCTGCAGTTCTAACCCACAAATATTCAATCTGGAGAAGCTGGAAGTTTTTGTCTTTAATAGTAGTTCATACCTTTTAATTGCTGAGGTATGAATGAGTCAATTTTGCTCATCCTTTCTCCTTTTAATGAAATAGGTTGTCTTCAACTTTTAATTTATTAATAATGTTATTAATTGCTAAGGTTAATAAAATTGCTATGCACAGTATTTTTTTTTTTAAGATTTATTTATTCATACAGAACTGGGGTACAGGCCAGAGATGCGGAGGGTGAGAGGATTCACCAGGGACAGAGTGGGGAGCAGAACAGGCAGATCGACGAGTACACTGCTGAGGGGAGCAGTGGGTGGGTCAGGAGAGGTCTGCCATGCCATGTGGTCACCTCCGGGGCAGGCGGGAATCGAACTCATGCTGCAGTGGCTTTAGCTTCTTAGTGCTGTGCCCCAACCTGCTTCGCCACCAGGGAGGCCCCTGCACAGTATTTTTAAAAAGATTTATTTTTTCATTAGAACTGGGGTGTAGCCCAGAAGTGCGAGGGGTGAGAGGATTCACCAGAAACAGGGCAGGGAGTAGAACAAGCAGATCTACTAAAATACACAGCTGAGGGGAGGAAGGGGCGAGAAAGGAGAGGTCTGTAGTTCCATGAGAGTCAGCTTGCTGGCCAGGGATCCATTGAACTCATGTTGCTGTGGCTGGCAATAGCTTGATAGCATGTGTGAGAGAGAGAAATTTAAGTTTTGATGAAGTGCTCGGGTTCTTTAGTTCAGTGAGCTGCATAGTTTCTCTCCAGTTTTGCTGCCTTGGGACCTGCTTGTAGGCTAAAAGGCATTTAAAAACACAGAATATTTCCCAGTCCCTTTGTCTTCCAAGTGTTGACTGTCTTCTAACATCTCTCTGCCTTTGGCTGCTCTCCAGTAGCTTTGGTATAGAGTTTACAGTTGCTTTCTTCTATTTAGGATCTACTCATTCTCAAGTCATCTTCTTTAAATATTTTGCCTTTCACATTTAAGTTTCTAACTCTGGTGGAATTAGTTTTTGTGCCTCTGTGTGATAGGAATCTAATTTTTTTTTTTAATTATAGGTATACCCCAATGTGACAACCCCAGTGTGAAATGGATTGCCTGTGGGTCCCTCTTGCTTAAAGGGACTCAACTGCAAGCGCACACCAAAAAACCTTATTAAAGTGTTTCTTTACAAAAAGGGAAAGGCCCTTTGTAATACCCCTTGTTACAAAAGGGGAAATGAAGAAAGGTTAACCCAGAAAGAAAAGAGTGATAAATTGATGAATGTGTCTTACGAGTTCCACTGAGCTCGAACCCCAATAGCATGCTGAAGGCTGGTGGAAAAACCAAGAACCCCCAAGGCCCACATGTCTGGTTATACACCAAGCCTGGCTGCTTAACTTCACCCTTAGTTCCCAGCAATCCTCCCGTCAGTGGTGATGACATTATGGGATTTGTAGTTCTTGGTGCCTTGGATCTCTTTGGTCTGGAGGTTTTGGGATGGTGTCTAAAACCTGTCTTTGTGGAGTTCTATCCTCCCAACATCCTCTCCCCCAATGCTAATCCAAAAATGAGGAAGCTTTCAATATATGATGAATCTTTCTAAATTCTTTCATATTCTACACATTCTTAGTTATTATTACTGTTTTGTAAGTCTTAAGATTTGGTAAGACAACGGTTCATACTTGTTTTATAGGAATATCTTTGGCTCTTTGTTCTTCCGTTATAAATTCTTGTAATTTTTCCCATAGGGGTCTTATATGTTTTCTGTTTTAATTATTCTTGTGGATGATTTTACCATTTTTTCCCATAGGATAATTTTAGTTATTTTCCGAGCTAGTTGTTATTGTTTGTGCTATCTTTATGAAACCGAAATCTTTCTGTATATTTAAATTTTTTTCTGAGTCATTTAAAAATTTTAGATGTATCCATTTTTTCAGTGAGTGTTTATTTTTTGAAAACAAGAACTTTTTTTATATAACCTCAGGACAGTAATCAAAACCCAGAAATTAATATTGATGCTGTATTATTATCTAATTTACAGGCATTATTTCAAATTTCACTAACTGTTCATTAAGGGGGAGACTTTTTTACCCCTGGTCTTTACATATACTACACTTAGTTGCCATTTCTCTGTAACCTCTTTTGGTCTGGCATAGTCTCTCTTTCATGATCTTATTAGTTTTTTGAACAGTATAGGTGAATTACTTTGTAGACATTCCTCCGTTCATCTGATATTTCCTCATACCATTCATTAGACTGCATTTTTGGCTGGATGCCACAGAAATAAGTTGCGTAAATCTTTAGTGTATCACATCAGGCACATAAAATCTGTTTGAGTATTTCTGGTGATATTGAATATTTCTTCAATCAGTGTCTGCTCAATTTCTTCATTTTACATTTACTACTTTTTCTCTTTGTTATATGTCTTGAATTAAGTTTTTAACAACTTTTATTGGACTGTGCAGATTTTTGGTTTTGTCTTGACTTGGATTTTTTTTTGGTCAAATCTGGAGTAGTGTAGGTACTTTTACAATTATCAGTGAACACATGAGTAAATGAGCAGAGACAGATGAGTGAACTGATGCCAGTTTGAGATTCTAACACTTATATTGTCTTGAAAACTCTAGAACATATTTTTGGTTTTGCTCACAAGTTTGCAGCTACCCCTTCCACCACTAGATGGAAGTGTTGACAGAACTTTCAACTTCATATGTTCTAAGCCTGAAACAATAGAACTGAATTTTATAGTGATATTTATTAAAGTGGAATTCTACCTGTTAATATTCTTCTAGGCATGGTAAATTATTATATATCATTAATTATACTTACAAAACAGTGAGCATGACTTGTGTAAGATCTATAGACTAGTAAAACATGTCGATAATTTGACAGATTTTTTGAAGACTATAGTTGGAAACTAGGAGTTAACATGCAATAGAACCTTATATCTAAGTTACCAGGAATCAAGTAATTTTTGGATAATCTAGGGTTTCTATTGGACAAAAGTCTATAATGGACCATATTATGTTAACTTTTCTTAGCATGAACTGGGCTCAGTTAAGATGTTTGAACACTTAGTTAATTCTAATAAACTCAAAGATGTCATGGAAGAGTATGGTCTCATGCCTGAAGAAGATATTTGCTTTATCACGGAACAGATTGAAGGACCACGTGGATCACCAGACAGTAAGTCTGAGGTACGTCTTTGTAACATTTGATTTGAACTGACTGGTGTTTTTCATCTAGTTGTTTCTTGGTTTCTTCTGAGCTGCACATTTGGCTGCTTTAGAGAGACTAAATGATAAACTTATAGATTTCTATTGTTCTTTTCAAAGACATTCTCATATTTTTAATTTACTTATTCTTTTGCCTAAAAGGATTGGGGTGTAGGCCAGAGGTCTATATGTGTGGAGTGGGGGGTGAGAAGATTCACCAGCGACAGAGTGAGATGCTGAACAGGTAGATCCACTGAAATACAGAGCTAAGGGGAACAGCAGGTGAGACAGGAGAGGTCTGCTGCACTGTATATGGGCCAGCTCCGTGGCTGGGGATGGAACTGAGGCTGAAGTGGTGATAGCACTGAGGCCTAACCTCTAGGCAGCCAGGAAGGCCCTTTTTCTACTCTTTAATGCAAAACAGGAAGGCTTATAGAGCTTTCCACCTCTTACCTGAGTTGTTTTTTTTTTTTTTTTAAGGTATATCCTCCTAATCTAAAATACATATGAAAATCTTTTTTTACATATCCAAAAGGCAAGTTTATTATATACAAAAGGGAAAGGTTACCTGTGTAGACAGAAAGAGCTACTCCTTAAAGGTACAGGTTTGTTAAAAGAGACACCACATAGTCACAGGGAGGATGGGGACCTGCCGATAAAGCTTTAATGAATATATAAACAGCGTTTTATCGAGATGCCTAAAGTAACTTCGTTTGGAAAATGTCAATCTTGTTTATCCTTTATAATTAGCATCTGAAATATAAATACCCAAAAGAAAAGATTAGTTCAGAGGAAAATCTGTTTTCTTTTTAATCTTTTGTTCTTTCAGTTAAAAAAGAATTTGGAAAATAACTTCCCTTTGAGATTTGTAAGGGGTTTTTCTTTTCCCCCTAAAGTATATCAGATCTCTCTCTTTAAAATTTTATTTTATTTTATAGCTGGGGTATAGGCCAGAAGTGGAAGGGGCTGTGAGAGGATTCACCAGAGACAGTGGGGAACAGAACAAGTGGACTGATTAAAATACACTGCTGAGGGGCCATCAGGCTGGCGGGCCAGGAGAGGTCTGCTGCGCCAATCCAATTAATTCCTTGGTGGGAGGGGGGCTCAGACTTGTGCTGTTGAGCTTGATAGCTTGGTAGAACTATGACTTTAACCCTTGCACCACTAGGAAGGGCCAAAATACAGCTCTCTTTATAAGATATACGATAAAGAGGTAGATTTGTAGCAAGTATCCTATTTCCAAAAATGGAGCTCCAAAAATTCTTCGGACAATGCATATCCTCTAGACTAGATTTATAGCTACTTTGAAAGATTAATACTATTTTAATGTATTAGCTCATGCATTATAAGGAATATTCTTACTACTTCAATATTGGATTTAAGTATTTTCAAAACTTTCAAACAAAGAAAGCTGTGTTGTTATGGGAAATGTTAACAGACTTAAGATGTTTTCAGTGGCACAAAAGATTTAGTGATAACAGAATATCCTAGACCTTAGTATCCCCCCCACCACTTCCTACTAATTTAGGGGTCAAGTAAAGGAAGGAAAGAGTAAAACCTTCCAGTTTACCTCGTGATCCTAATCAAATATTTATTTATAAATTTCAGACTAATAAAAGTGCTTTTCTTGTAAACATATTTGGTTCCTATCCTAAAACATTTTAAATGAGTCTTTTTCTTCTAGTGGCCATATAAGGGACGTCCTAAGGAGAAAAGCTTCCTTTATGAGATTGTGGCAAATAAGAGAAATGGAATTGATGTGGACAAATGGGATTATTTTGCCAGGTATGCACTAAGCAATTCAGAAAAAGTTGGCAACTTAAAGTCCTGGTATAAGTATATATAATTTTTATTTAAGTAAATACCACTGTATAAAGGGTTTATGAATTACACTATATAAAATGTAGTGTTAACATTTAAGGTAGATTTGCCTTGTCAAAAATTTTCATCTCTCTGCTTTGGATTGTTTCTAGGGACTGCCATCACCTTGGAATTCAAAATAACTTTGATTATAAACGCTTTGTTAAGTTTGCCCGCGTCTGTGAAGTGGATAGTAGGAAACATATTTGTACAAGAGAAAAGGTAAACTATGTCAGAAAATAAAACAGAAGATGTAGTTTCTGATTTGAAATCTAGAAGTAATTTAATAATTTGATTCAACTTATTGGAAAATTCAATAATTTGGAAAAATCAGTACTCGGTAAAATGTTGACCTCTTTGTTTCATGCTTTGCATTTGTAAGTGTTTTAAAATTCTTTCCACTCCATGGCACTGTTAAATAATAATACAATTATAATAGACCTTTTTCGAATATTGTGGCAGGCACTGTTTTAAGTGCTTTAGATGGATTAGCTTAATCTTTATAATCCTGTGAGATACATACTTATTATTAGCTCACTTTATAGATATCCAAAATAAAACTGAAGACCTACAGTTAATGAATGTCAAAACTGGAATTTTAACGCAGAAACTTGGACTTCATTTCATGCCTAATCACTATGTTAGTGTTTCATAAATGATAAAAAAGACTGGAATATGTAGGTGCCTGCTAGAATTAAGAGTCATGAGCTAAAGAGTAGTAGAGTCTTGTGTATAAAAGTCTGTCTTTTGAGAATGAAGAACACACCAATGATGATTAGGTACAGCAATTCTTAGAGTTATTGAGAGAGTTAACAATACATTTAGGATACCTAAAACAGAACCTATCACAGAAGTAAAGCATTCAATAGATTTTGGTTTTTAAAAAACAAAAGTTGTAAATAACTAAATGACCTTATTAATCTGCCTTGCAGTTTTTCAGAGAGCTCAGAGATCTTAATGAGTTAGCCCTTTTCTACCGCCTTCATGTCTGCCAGCATCCCTTTTCCTTGTCTTATATACTTATCTACTTACAGAGGCTACAAAATCTGATTTCACATTTACTTTACATTTTCCTGCAGGAGGTTGGGAATCTGTATGACATGTTCCACACACGCAACTCTTTACACCGTAGAGCCTATCAACACAAAGTCGGCAACATCATTGATGCAATGTAAGAAATTCAGTTGCTTTACTCATAGAAAATGTTCCATAATGCTTTGTAGAGTATCATACTTGGATCAAGTTCAGATTTTTCGATAAAATATGTACATTGTAAATGCATAAATCCAAAAAGTTTCCCTTAGATAAATAAGCAAAATAAGTGAACTTAGTTGAGTTGGGAAAAAAGATGGAAAGTGGATAAGGGGACTGGAGAGAAGAGACAATGGAGTGACTTGGACTTCTACACTGGTATTCACCTCTGTACCAGGTAAGAGTCACCAAGGTAATGAGATGTAGGATGTGCAGAATGTTGAAAACAATGGCAAACAATTTTTAGAATAAGATTAATGACTGCCCTTACCCTGCTAATTATTTATTAAAATTAATGCCAAGTAGTAAAACCAGAGGAATTTCACCTTTTCTTCCTGAGTCGGTCAGATCCATAGCAGAAAGATACAGGTTAAGTGTCTTATGCGACTCAAATGCCCCAATGAGTGGTTATCAAAACTTGGATGTGAGTGAAGTTTAATGTCCCTAAATTAGCTTAATTTGATTTATTCTAAGCTTTTCACATTTACGTATGTGTTGAGGAAATTATGTTCATTTTTATTTTTCCCTTTTGTCATAAACAAACTAGTTAGGAAAATTGTTACTTTGGTGAGAGGGTTTTTTTTTGTTTTGGGAGGTTTTATGTATTTTGTTTTAAATTTGGAGAGGCAGAGAGATCTAGGTTCAAAACTTGGCATTGCTTCTTCCTAAGACTGTTAGAAAAATTAATTCATGCATCTGTAAAGCGGAAACTGATTACATCTATCTTATTGTTGGAAATATTGAATAAAACAATGTACCTAAATTCCTGCTCCAGTTCCTGAAAAATAGTTAACATGGTAGCTCACAAATTACTTAGTTATTTAGTATAGTAAAGAACCAATTGTCTTGATACAATTGTGTCTAAAGATTTTATTTTCCTAAAGTAGAAAGAGTTCCTTCACTCTAAGTAAAGCATAAAGAAAAAAAAATTCAACTTTTATCATAAGCGTAATTATTTTTAATGATCCATAGGATTACAGATGCTTTCCTCAAAGCAGACAACTACATAGAGATTACAGGTACTGCAGGAGTAAAGTACCATATTTCTACAGCAATTGATGACATGGAAGCCTTTACTAAACTAACAGGTAAAACACTAGAAGGTAATATAGATGGTCCATCACATATAAGCAGTTCACAGATTGCTTTGTTTGCCAAACATTCCAATGTATTTTAGCTATATACTTTAGCTATATGTTTTAGATATATACTTCCCGATTTCTGTTTTGTTTCTGCTTTGCCATAATAAGGTGACTTTGATCAAGTCATGTGAACTCCGTGAACATTAGTTTCATCATCTGTATAATGGGAGTAATAGTACCTTGTGTATAGTTTTGTTATGGTGCTTAAAAGAGCCAGAGCAGTTAGTACACACTTGGTAGGCAAGTACTCAGTATTTATTATTTAATTTAGAATACATCTGGACTAATACCAGAAAAGCTAACTTAACCTTTTGAACATTATTTTTATTGCAAAACATGGGATACCGGGAATATTTCTTCCCATTTCAACAGAAATGAAATCTATAGTTTAGAGAGGGAAGTAACAGAAGTAAAGTTATCACAATTGGTTCTTTAATGTGGGAAAGTGTAGACTGACAAGATATAAAGCTTTATTTTTGCTTTATTGAGAATAAAGAAAAAGAAATAGGACCAAAAAAGTATATCCAGTCAGACTTCTTACTTGGAAGTCATGAAACTCACTCTTTTTAACTTAAAATAAAATTAGAAAGGTAAAAATAAAATCTTAACTCAGGGGCCCTCCCTGGTGGTATAGCAGGTTAAAGCACAGCACTATGAAGTAATCCACAGCCACTGCAGCAAGAGCTCGCTCCTCAACCAGGGAGCTGACCCACATGGCACAGCAGACCTCTTCGGTCTCATCCGCTGCTCCCCTCAGCAGTGTATTTCAATACTTCTGCCTGTTCTGCTCCCCACTCTGTCTCTGGTGAGTCCTCTCATCCCCCGCATCTCTGGCCTATACCCCAATTCTTGCATGCACAAATAAATTAATCTTTAAAATAAAATCTAACTAGGTCAGGGTGGTGATAGCCCTGAGACTTTCCCTTAGGCCACCAGGCCCTTAAATGCTTATTTCTGATGAATGTTTTATTTGGATGTAGTTATCTTAAGCATTGCAGATACTATGGCTGCTGTCTTACTAGGTAATTTTCTTGGTCTTTCTCCCTCAATATTTCTTAGCATGGGTGGACCTTACCTCTAATTTCTATTTCCCTGCAATCAGGTAATTTTAGATTTTTAAAAATTTTATGTATTTATGCATACAAGAACTGGGGTATAGGCTAGAGGTGCAGAGAGTGAGAGGATTCACTGATGGAATCCTGATGGCTGACTGATGGATACACTCGTGAGGCGTGAGCAGCCCATGAGACAGGAGAGGCCCACTGACCATGTGGGTCGGCTTCCTGACTGGGGATCGTGCTCCTGCTGCAGTGGCTGTGGATAGCTTCATGGTGCTGTGCTTTAACCTCTTGTGCCACCAGGGCGGTCCCCTGACAATTTTAGACTGTGGAACATTTCACAAGATGACTGCCTGGACTTTTCTAAAATGTCAATATCACAAACGATAAATCAAGAGTTTATTCTAGGTCTAGATTAAAGGAGACTTAAAAAACATGGTGACTGAAGATGACTGGATTAGAAAGATGTGGTACATATATACAATGGAATATTACTCAGCAACCAAAAAAGAGAAACACATGTCTTTTGCAGCAACTTGGA